GGGTAACATAAACAGCTCAGCAAAAACTGGTCGGTCAATAAATTGAATCGAAGGTTCGGGGTTAGGGTACTGTCACCTAAGAGGTGGCACGTTCGCTAGCGCTGCATAAGCGGGGCGCTGGGACGCGTGCGTACCCACCTACTCAGAGACCAGTTGTAAGGTCGAGGCTTGGCCGCACACGCTGGCCTGGGGAGTTTGTGCGTTCGGTGATGGCGGCTGCAGTTCGCATGCGAGTCAACAGTCGGCCGCGCGCAAGCCTCCCGTCTCTCAGCATGGTCGTGCGTGCTCGGCCACCACTTCGCGTGGCTACACCCAGTCAGGGTCGGTGTTTGGTCCAGGTCTTCACAAGGAGTTACAATTCAAGGCTACCAACAAGGAATGGTTTTACCAAATTTCAAAAATTTTGGGGTCAACAAAACAACATATATTTCAGGTATTCCACAATTTCAAAGTTCAAGGGTTTCCGAAAATAGAAAGGTATAAGTCCGAGTTCCAAATCCACTTCATTTCCCAACGACGCATTCTAAAACGCGAAGAGATCAACGATTGAGATAGACGAGAATTCTCAATGAAATTCTAATACAGTTATTCAGTCAGAAATAATCTCCAATCTGCAGCTTCTGCCGATAGATACAATAAATAGCTCGCCTCAGCTCTTCCGACTAACAGCGTCGGCCGACACATCAGCTCTTCATCGGGTAGCTAATCGTGTCAGCAGTCCTAAACGAGCGCAACTCACTTCTCAATCTTCACACTAAGGAATTTGAACGTGGAATTCCTCCTGGGATTCCGAAAGGAGGAAAAGAACAAAAATTTTACGATGAACAAGATTTAGAATAATGACGGGTCCGCACTACGCGATGTGTTTGCTCCGGACTCGTCTATCCTCCTTAAAAGATTTCTGCATAATTCTTTAAGGTGGAAAAGCACTCCATCTGGATAACAGCAGGAGATAACACAAAAGCACTTATAGGCGGTGAGCTCGGCTCGTCAAGCACCTTCATTAAGTCCAGATGCTATAATCAACATCTACTTAGACTTAAATGGAATTCACAATTATACTCAGCCGAACTTATTTCGACTAAGTTGTTCGTGAAGTCCTGTAGACGTTGGAACACTTAAACTCGATATTAAGACTCAACCAAACATACATGGGAGTTCACATAATCCAAAACAAACATTGACCAAGTCAAGCACTTAAAGAACCGCAAAACGAGTCGATTCACAGTTTTTTTTTTAGCAAAAGCCATATATTTAAAAATACTAGATTTTAATCACAAAATTAGGTTGGTCAGGTTATCATACGAATTTCACTCTAAAATTCTCACCAAAATTCCACCTCCCATAATTAAGCAATACCACAAATGTTCAGCCCCAAACTCAAACTGTGCTATTTTATAAAATTCAAGCAAAATTATGGCAAAAACGAGCATAAATTAGCAACCAGATTAAATGAATGAATTAACCTATGAAATTTTTATACCACAGACTACAGCATGAGGGTGGCAACATGTCAAAATTTCAGCTCTGGACATTAACTGTACGAATTTTAAAAATTCCTACAAGTTTTTAGCAGATATCGAATTTCAGTTAAAACCAAACCAAATTGAACTCCAAAAATTTCCATCTTTTAACAGCATGAAAAGACATATAAAACAAGTGCTCCAGCCAAGTTTTAGAATTTTTCAACGACTAACCGATTTATGATGAATAAAATAACTTTTTGCAGAATCAGAAAATAAATTATTTACTCCATTAAAATTAGTCCAACAATTCTGAATATTTTACACAGAATACAATCATAATAGTGGCATAACATACTAAATTTTCAGCCAATTTAGATCACTACACAATTTATTATGCAATTAACATGAAACTGACCAGAAATCATTCTAATAATGTAAAATAGCTACAGGCCTTGGAAAATTACGAAATTTTAACAGAAGTCAGATGGTCAACAGATGACAAGACCTTCAAAATTTCAAGGCAAACAAAGCAGTACATAATTTTTAATAATTCCAACACTAAAACAGTAGTTATTAAGGTTCAACAATTTATCTACGACTCGATTTACGATGAGTTCATCCAAAGTCTTCTCCATAAGACTAAGGACGATACAACGTTCCAATCCACAACGACTATATCACGAATCGACGAGGTCTCGTTCGATTTCTTAAAATCGAAGAGATCGTCTACATATATTCAATATATATTTAAACCAATTTCAAACTCAAGAACACAAAATTATCATAGGCATATTCACATCTGATGGTCTTAGTAACTATAGTTACAGACCTCAGAATATCCCACATTTGAGACTTCTTCGGTTGTCTGCTCCCTTCGTTTAAACCTTTTCCTTTCGAGATGGCTCGCGAATGGTCCTCTTACGAAGACACCAAAACACATCGAGAGGACTGTTATACACAGAACTCAACTCGATAACACCATATCAAATTTCTAAACAAACAAAACCTCAAGTTAGAACTTAACTCTATATCGCTAGAGTTCAATTCATGCAACTAAGGTTCACCACTCATCTAGAGTTCCAGAACGTTTAAAAGTAGGAGGATAAATTCCTAAGCTCCGGTTTCTTTTCAGTAATCAATACAATCAATGCACAATAATCTTAAATCATTCAGGTACTCATACCTGAGCTGGCGCGGCACGACGAGAGCGAGTGGTCAAAATATGAGGTCAAATGTAATCACATAATTCACATTAACCAGTCTACAGAAACGCAGACTGGCTTTGATACCAAACTGTAACGCCCCATTTATATTTGCCGAAATTCAGAATAAATTTTTCAAAATTTATTTCAAAACACTTGAGGCGCTACTCATTTTCCAAATACAATTCCAATAATATCACATATGCAATTCCCGACGAGTTCAAAATTCATGAATAGTCAACACCCATAAATAGTCAACACCCAAACCGGGTTCAATAATTGACATCCACTCCCAAAACTGGGTTCATCAAATCCATAAATACTAGGGAGTACACTCCCTATCGATAATCCAGTATTCAACATAAGTAAGGAATGCATAATTCATAATAAGCAATTTAAGCAGCGGAAATAAGCGATAACATGACCACCACTCGCTTCTCTCTGTCGTGTCCGCAATTACTAACCTACATCAATGAATAGCAGGTGGGGATGAGCACAATAGGAAATCGAGGTGCTCACCACTATGCAATAATTAATATTAAATTTCATAAAATAAAGCAGGTATGGTCGCAGTATGAACACAAATCAATTAATATCCCATCTCCTTCCCAGAGTCAACTCTCGTGTGCACACCTATACCAATAGACCACTGCTGATACACGTATCGAAAACCCCCGCGGGCCTTACGTTCGATGCCCAGACAGTGGGAGTAAATCCACCCCGAATGCCCGGAAACATCCCATCGGACTTACATCGAGGATCACCAGCCAAGGCTCACGCCCTGACTGCCATACATAAATAAAGGAGACACCCCCATCGGGTACGTTCTATAGCTATGGGGATAACCGTTCGACGGCCAATATAGCTCACATCGAAGGCTACATGGTTCACATGCATACTTTGATCATACCACAACAATAACAATTAATTAATGCATAGAAACTTTTCAAATAAAACCCACCTGGATGTAGCAAGAGGTATAGCCAAACACAGAGTTGAAAGAATTATGGCACAAGTTCAGCTCGAAGGACCTACAACAATTTATAATAATCTATCACTTACTATTCAATACGAAACAGCACATAAGACACATATACTTAGCCGAATTCACATCGACTAAGTGACTCATGGATTTCCTTGACCGAGTTAGGTACTATGGAGTGACTACCAGACCTGGACACAACTCAATTACCTCAACTAATACACATAAGTCATGCCAACATTAATAAAATTCAATCCTAACCCAAATAACCGATAACCGAGCATTAAGACTCCAAAATAAACTAAATTCAGAATTAGGAGTTAGGCTCAGCCCATCAACCTGAAACTTTACCACATTATAAAGCATGCAAAAACACATAAACTCACCAAGTTTCAGCCCCCGGGAACATTTTTAAATAATTAAGGCAAAAACAACGCCAAAATCAGCGTTTAACAGTTCGCATAGCTACACTTTGAATTTTGATCTGCAATTTTTACACAACCTAAAACATCACACAATAACAGGTTCCTGAAAGTTTCAGCTCAAAAATCCAAGTGTACGATTTTTAATGAATTTCACAAGTTTCTGCACATAAACCATTTTAAGCATTTGAACTCGAAAAATTCAAAAATAAAATTAGGGGCTTGGCACACATATTCCACATACTCAGAGGCACAACATATCAAAAATTCAGCTCAAATGGATAACAACTCGATTTTTGGTGAATTTATTACGGTTCAGCAGCATGCTCGGTCTCGAAAAATCATATCTCTCAAAATACAACTCGAAACGACCTCAAACCAAAACTAACCGATCAAGGACAACTCCAAGTACCTTTAACTCCAGGATTTCCACGAAACGAACCACATAATATTCAGTTCGACAATAATTCAAAGTGACGGCAATCACTTTGATATCCAATTTGCGAATAAAAATAATTACTCAACTAAGACACGAATTTAAATTCACGAAGCACGCTTAACACCCATATCATATAAACGAACTCATAAAATAATATATAGAATTTAAGCGAGACGGGTCGAGCCTTGTACCGTTCTCGAGGTTCGTTTGAAAAACGGAAACGAGGAAACGAATGGGTGCAACCGCACGGGTACTCGGGCTCGACGGCGGACTCACGTGAACAGAGGCTGGTGGTGGACGGCAACAAGGCTTCGTCGAACGGCTGAGCGGGGCTTCCGACGACGAACAAGCTGCTGCCCGACGAACGGATTCTCGGTACCGGCAACTTGCAGCCGTTCATGGAGACGGCTCGCTTGAACGGACAACGATGTAATGGGTTGTTGCGATGATCGTACAGAAGCCGACGGGACGAGCCGTCGTGTACCGTTCTCACGTAAGGTACACAAACAATCGAGAGGGAGTCGAAACGGGGCTCGACAAAGCACGCTGCTTGGCTATGCTGCTGCTCGGTGGACTCATCTTTATCGCGAAGGTCGCCGGAGGTTGCAAGCTCGCGGAGGTCGGAACGGGTCCTGCTCGGGGCAGATGAAGCTCGCCGGAAGTTGCTGCGATGGTGGCTCGTGATCTGCGACGTCGGGAGTCGAGCCTGCACGGAGGAGGATGGTGGTGCTCGGAGTTGCAGCGGCTCACGGTGGTTGGTCGACCCGCTTCTGTTCGCGGCAGAGGAGGTTGGTCACGGCGCGGTCTGTCGCGGCGTGGGGAACTCGCGAAGGAGGACTGGCGGGCCGCGACGTTACTGATGCGGGGTTCGCCGGAGTGCAGCGGAGCAGCAGGCGGCGATTGGGCTGGGGATCTGCTGGTCGGAGGGCGGTCCTCGCGAGAACAATGACCGGAGATGGTGACGGAAAGGAAGGATTTTGCGAGAGAAAGAGAGGTGATGGCTTCCGTTTTCAGTTTCGAGAAGGGAGAACATATTTTGAGAGAGGATTGAAGAACGACTTCTCTGATTAATAGGTGCGAGAGGGAGTCGAACGTGAGGAGAATTTCACAAACAAATCGGAACAAAATTTTGAACTGTCGATAAGGAGCGACTCGGTCGCTGCGCGTGAGGATGAAGAAGGAGATAAATATGCCAATCTCAAGCAAATTTGGGTATAAGTGATTTGGGCCGAAACCATTTAATACATTGGGCCAGGATTTATTAGCAAGGAATTGGGCTATTTAATTCACATAGCAAAATGGACTGGAAAATAAATTTGATAACACGGTTCGGCTCTCGGGCCCGACTACGTAGCGATAATACGGTTTTAGTCGAGCTTGATAGGTTAAATTGGATCGGCTGGCAAATTAAATCGCACAGTAAATACATAACCGGATATAATATATTTTTACAGTACACACAATTTAAATTTTAAAATAATAATAATATTAGTAAAAATACAAATACACATTTTTGAATTAAATAATAACATTAGGAAATTAGGCAATTAATTAATATTTAGACAAATAGTCAATTTGACAAATAAATCACATTCGACAATTAATAATTTATAGCCTTCAATAAATAATAATAATAACAATTAAATATAAATAATAATAATAATAATAATAATAATAATAATAATAATAATAATAATAATAATAATAATAATCCTCAAAAATTCCAACGTGAAACGGGGCATTACAATTTCGGACATGAAACACAAGGAGCTAGCTGGCATGTTCCCTGCATAAGCAAAATGGGATTTCGGCATATCATGGCATGTTTTCTACTCATTCAAAAATCAAAATTCTTTAAAAAAAAAAAAGAAAAGAAAAAAAAGAAAATCTGGGCGAAATGAAAGAAGCTCAAACCTAAGAAAATAAGTTAGTCTATAGGATTAGTCATATATGCTACAGGACTATTTATGGTCTAAAGAATCAGAAAGAACTCATCCATTCTCTAAATAAGAACGAATATAAGGTGAACTCAAGCGAGCAAAGCAAAATTATAATTAAGACCACATGTAATAAGTAACTTGAGAAAGCAAAGCAAGAACACCTACTTAACTACGGATTTAACAATAAATACAGAGCTTTTTGTCCCGACACGTACCAGGATTCAGGAGGCTTTGCTGGCAGCGGAAGCAGTTTTTGGAAAGATGACGTTGGTTGTTCGAGACTGACGGCGGCACATCATCAAATGGGGTAATTCGAAAAAGGTGGTGATAAGACCTCGCGAGGTGGGGTGAAGATAAGGTTCGGCTCGAACGGCTCGAAAAAAAGAAGAGTGATAGCATAAAAACCAAGTTGTTGGAAATTGGATAACTCTTTTATGGCGCAGTCAAATTATTTTAAATATAACTTTTGATGTAGAAAATATTTTAGATTGATTTTTGAAAATACAGGAACTCAATTGACAGAGGTACATTTTCCGTTAGACCTCGAATGCAAACGAGCAAGTTAAATGAATGAAAACTGGTCAAACCTAAGCCACAAGCTGCAGCCAACTCTACAGAAAAACTGCTCGCACATTGATCGTATTTCGAGCGTAACTTTTTCTATAAAACTGATAATTGAAAGATTTTTGTGCCCTTAGAAACACAAGAAACAAATCTACAATTCGTGTTAAGACATCACAAACGTTCAACTAAATTATGATTCCCGAAACAGCAAGGGAAGTACAGACTTGTACGACCACGATTTTTAAAGGGGTCTGACTGCGCAACGGAAAAACTTTTGACGTAACTTTCATTATAAAAATAACAATCACCTGATTCTTAATTTAGATGAAACTTAAGAGACTGAACTCCAAATGACTAGAAGAGTTTGAAATCATTCGACTGAGTTTCAGAGGTCAAAAATAGCAACGAACAACAATCAGTACAAGGGTCTCAAATAGAGTTTTCAAAACTACACTTAAACGAACATAAATCAACACGAGACAAGGGCTGCAATAATGATTCAAAGCTCGATTCAACAACAATTTGGGACAAAAGGGAGTTCCAAATCCATATAATTTTCACAAAACAAAACAAAATTAAATATCCAAATTCCTTCACTTCACTCAAAATGAATCTTAATTTTCGACAAAAGATCTAAGCCAAAGAAACACCAATTAACACAACAAAGGAGGATCTGAAATTTCACCTCCTTCCAGAATCTACAAGCAAAGGAGTGAATAGGATTGAATTGGATCAAGCCTCGGATATAGATCTCCTTGGCACCGGTTACATGTCCCTCAGCGGCTTGCGCTATGGTCGACAAGGGGATGAGAGGGTTTTTCGAGAGGGGAAAAAGGATGAATTTATGTTCTGGACAGCTCGCGAAATGGATTCGCGGGCGCGGAATTAGGCCTCTGCTTGACTTTTGAGGCTCGATTAGCTCTAACTTCTTGCACGCTTATCCGATTGACTTGAAATTTCCACCCACGTTCCTCAAATCTTTTTTTCCTCGTCTCGAGATGCGCAAATAGATGTCACCACGCAATTAATAAATATGCTCGAAAATGGTTCGCGTGGCTCGGACGTGGTTCGGACGGCTCAGAAATGACTCGGAAATGGCTCGTCTTCCCAAACACGAACAATTTGGACCTAGTCAGCACAAAAAAGATGAAAAGTACGTCAAACCACAAAAACACAAAACGGGAGCAAAAATACACAAAACACGATAAAATAGACCGGTCGACACTAAAACGAACCTAAAAAGACTAAACTAAAGCACATATCACATGAAAATAAGCACAAAAACACAATAAACAACTCCCCCACACTTAAGTCTTTGCTTGTCCTCAAGCAAAGAAAACAACAAATAGCTCGAAAAGAAAAATTGAGAAGTCCAAAATTAACGAGCATGCGAAATGAAACTCTCATCTTCATCCGGATGTCCATAAAATCAAAATCCAATCCGAAAACACGTTCCCCACATAGTGAATTCATACAAAACAAAAACCCGTCCCAAGTTATTCTACACATGATTACTCGATTCAAACTCCTTTCTTCCACATACACGTGCAAAAAACTATAAATGGTCTACTAAACATGTACAATACGATAAACACGAACCAATAAGCCAACTCCCATTATTTCGATTGTTTGCTTTGCTTTTTTTTCCAAACGAGGTTTCCTAGACAATGCTTATCTAGGTTTAACCTCGAGGGATCTCCTCGAGTTTCCTAGACCGGTTTCCAGGGCTCATTATCCAATTCCACGAGGTGGCTCGGGATAAGGGAAGCCTAGTCCGTACCTCCTCGCGAACTCACGTTTTATTCCTTTTTTTCTCTTTTTTTTTTTTGAAGGGAGTGGCACACAAGGATACATCACGAATACAATATAATGAATATCCCAAATCAATCAAAACGTACCACAAGTGTATAGCATAACACATTTACAATAATCGAACATAAGGCAAGTATGTCTCAAGATCATCAATCGAGAACAAACGAGGGACAAAACAATTTCGTGAATTCACATGCGGGTTCCCATGTCAACGAATTATCATTCAATTTTAGGACACCGTCCAATTCATCAAGTACATAAAGCACAGACGTTAATAATGAAACCAATCAACCATCTCGACTCACCACTTAGCCATCTTGACTCTTGGACTAACATCGAGCTTCATGCGGGAGAGACGACACAAAAACTCAAACAAAACCGGTCCAAGACACGACAAATACGAAAAATAAGGCACCAAAAACGAAAAAAATATCGCCTAAACATGCATAATCACTAAATCCCTCCCCCACACTTAAAACAAAGCAATGTCCTCATTGCTTGATCAAAAAGCATAGAAGAAAGCACATAATCATGTAAGTTCATGCGATAGAAACGAGAACGAAACATGATAAACAACATACAAAAGAAAGGAAACACAAAGACACATAAGAACAACTAAGAGAAAAAGAAAATAAGAAAAGAAAATGCGTACTCTACACGGTGATGCACCACCGTGTGTCTAATGGTTTTCGTCTGGTGGGAATAACGAGTAATGATCCGATGTCCTCGAGTGCAAAATAAAACCATCTGAATGATTGAACAATGAAAGTATATTGAGCCATACGCCATCCTAGCACTAAGACATTAAAAGCATAAGATAATCCCCTCCGTCGGCTCCGAGTAAAGGCCATATGTATGTGTCTCGGAGGGATAATAACCGGGAATCCACAAACTCGACGAAAACACACGTATGCGTGAAAGCTCAACAAATTCAACAACTCTACACGCTACGAACACCACATTTCCCAAATAATCAACAAAATCTCCACACGACCCTCAACACCGGAAATCAATCACCAAAACTCTCAAATTGTCAACATAAGCCCACGAACTCCCGATACACCTCCCCCACACTTAGTATATATCACCTCCAACTCAATAAAGTCACGCCCAATTCAAATACATATGGCATGAGTAGGTCTAAGTGAAGTACCTTGTAAAACGATGATCTCGATGCCAAGAGTAAGAAAAATCGGGCAATGAACCTCGATAAAGCTCCAAGAGAGTGAAAAATCCACGAAAAATAGGTGAAGGAGGTGGAATCGCCACAAAATAAGGTTTTCGGTGGCTCCAACGTCTCGAAACAGTCTCGGGAGGTCGAAAATGTCATTTCCGGCCAGAAAATGTCGCCGGCGGCCGAAAAATGGGTCCCGAAAGGTTCGCCGGAAAATATGGCCGGAAAAGTCACCGGTCGCCGGGTGCGCCGGGGCTCGGTGGTTCGCCCGATGGATCGATGATGGCTCGGGTACGGTGCATGCGGGGCATGGGACATGCCTCGGTGTGCTAGGGTCGCTAGGCANGCTCCGGGCTGCCTCGGGCCTGTGCGGGCCTAGGGTCATTTTTTCCATACTTAGGCATATTTTGAGCATTTTTGACCGATTTTCGACCCGATTTCAACCCTTTGCCATATTTCGCCCAATTTTCAACATAATCTCGGCCCCGAATCCCGTTTCCTTCTCCGAAAATACCGTGTGTTGTGTGGTTTGCAGGGCTATTTATTTTCGATAAAAAATAAAAAATAAGAAAAAAGCAAAAACCGTGGGTTGCCTCTCACGAAGCGCTCATTTTAACTTCTTGAGCTCGACGTCCCAACCAAAATCAACCGGGATCCAAGAAGAAATGACGATCATGCCACGCCTTTGTATTCTCCAAAAGAAGTCGGGACGGTAGAACGGTACAAAGACGGGTCAAATATACTCTCGTGGCCAAATTCTTGTGAAACCGAGCACGGATATCAACAACCACCAAGAGAAGAGATAATGCTTTACGAACCAAAGCCCCATTCTCGACCTCCGAAAATATGAAAATGTCCGTGGAGCACGTCGAATCGATCCCAATCATCATGTGTATCACCTCAGATGCGTACTCATCGATATCAAGCATCGGGATCATGGGTGTGAACACGCTAGACTCCTCCAAATAGTCAAGATCCTCAACAATATGAAATGACGACCCAAAGGACATATGAACCACGTCATACTCAACATCACAAGTCAAATCATCAATCAACGCACACCTCGGGTCCACTACATCACATAATGGCTCAGAATCCTCCTCAACAACATCCACCACATCATCAACTACCTCATCCTCCCCCTCAAAATCATCCTCCCGAGTATCAAGTCTGCTAGAATCGCGAAAATCATGAATAGGCACACTCAACTCCCAAAATGAATTATCACCGATACCATACACCATATCAACACCCGGTTCCATATGCTCACTCTCAATAACCAAATTTGAACTCAAACCACAATCACCGGAAGAAAGGTTAGACGTACCTAATGTGGAATGTACGACCGAATCGTCAAGAGAGGATATTTCCTTAGCAATCAAATCGTCGATGTCCTCACTCGTGTCGAGAGGTTGCGTACCGTCATAAACGAGAGTGAGACCCATCTCTTTCAAGGAGGCAAACCTATCCACAATAGCTCGAAACTCTCCCTCTAACCGAATACTCTCCCGAATAATCCTCGCCGATAGAGAACAATACCTACCGAGCGAAATGTGAGAGGCGTCCAAATCAAGGAAAGCAACCACGGTAGAGTCGAACTGCGTGAGTGTCGCTCGAAGAATGGATAGAATAGGAATAATCCTCCAACTATGAAACTCCTCGATGATCGACATGAAGCTCGCAAGTGCCTCTTGTGTGCTCGTCAAAACCTCTCGGTGACGTTCGGTAGGCTCAATCATTGTTGGA